AAAAACTTCTTTGTTCCACGCGGCAGACACGCGAAAAGGCGCCCTGTCGCCAATGTGTTGAGGCCGCCTTCTTGGAAGTGGTTATATCGAGAGCACTTGGCAGTGCACCTGGGAGTTTTGACATATACAACTTCAAAGCGGCTTTCAGTTTATAATGAGTGCTCCTCAACACGATAAGTCCAGTTCAGTTACCTCAGGTGAGAGTTCTTTCAGATTCGTTTCCAGTGATACTGATAATTCATCCTGACGCCGTCGCATAGTCGCAATGACCTTCCAGTCTGGTTCATTTTTTGCTTTACCACAAGTATAGTCAAGTTTGAGCATGTTGGTTTTCTTTCCATTTGGATGTCATGAGCTGTGATCTCATAATTCTCTGATTCGGCATATCAGATGAGTAGTGGCAAAGTCACACCTTTACTCCTGGCCGTAACTGATGAGGAATGTCATTCCTGAACAAGGTCAGAATGCCAGTTCAGAACCGCAAATAAAAAAAAACTAGAAGGTAGTAGAATGTGAGAACTGTAAATGATGTATAAGAAAGAGTCATCAAACGAGGTAGCTAAAAAAGCCTGTTATTATTAAGCAAATCTCTATAGGATAAGATTGAGGTGTTAATAACTCCTTTGGCGGAGGTTCGAAGCTGATTGGCGTGCGATGAAGTTGCTATCCGATCCAGTAAATCGTTCCATTACAAAAATCCAGGGGCACAAAATGCAAACTGCCATCCAATGTTAGCTAACTTCACCGGTGGTAAATTTCTGCGGAAAACATTGTCGAGGCTGGGTGCATGTTGATATGTGTTATGAGTGCATGTTCTAGTAAATATAAAACTTCAGGTTCAAAGTTGGATAACGACTTTCACAGGATATGACAACCACCAGTTCAACACGACCTATCATCACGACTCGAACAGCTCGAGGAGAAAAATTTCGCTAAAACCAACAATCTGAAATTTCACTGTAAGGGGTTATTGATAATCTTGATCACTGTTCTGACCTTCATGATTGGCGCCGAAGCCGTTGGCGCCGGCATGGCTCTAAATACCCTCCCTCTTTGTGTCGAGTATTATGCTGCAAGAAACACTTGGGGAACTAATATGCCACCTCACCGTGTACCGATTATAGCTACTTTCTTCACCTTAACTTGTATTGTTTCCAATGCAGAGTCTACAAAGCTTCTTTGCTATGAATACTCCACATTAGGTAGAAAAGGGCCTGGAAAAATGGCTCAAAATCGCCTTTTCTCAGCAAACTTTTCACTCATTTCTTGGCATGGTCAGAAAAGCATAGCCAAAACGGAACCCACTTTTGCGATCCTTATATGGACCCCTACAACATGCAACAAATCCCTTCTAAAAAGAGCGCGACGACCTGAATGACCTCCTTTGTGAGAACAGGGTGGCGGGGCGAAAGAGTGCAGTATAATAGCTCAGAAACGGATGAAAATGGTCAACTACGACATCGGGACGCAATGGGTGGGATACGTCAGGTAAGAACTTTATAGACGATGACGAAACGTCCTATCCACAAAACGTGATGCATTGGCGGAGTGGCAATTACAGACGGTGCGCCCCAATGGCAACCCTGCCGCGCCAAACGATCGGCTCCCCCATGATCGCGGCGATGACATGACGTCATGCAAGGCATGTATGTCTTAACTATTTGATTGATTTCAACCTTCAGTTGCTATCGCTTATTAAACTATGAGTGTTCGAAGCTAATAAAGGTGCAGTGTTTAAAGACATATGGTACGTTCAAACACATTGAGGGTGTATGAGACTATCAGCCCCTCAGCTGTCGATGTGTCGTGGTCCCCCCGCCAAACATGCCCAGGAATGGAGATACAGGAACACGCTAGTTCCTCCATGCTCCGCCTTACACCTTTTGCGGCGCAGATTCCCGTCGTTCATAACATCCATTGCAAGCGCGCGTGTCGCGTGCGGCTCCTTGGCACTTTGTCAAGTCCTTTAATGGCGCTCTCAAATACGAGTAAAACGCAATTTCCTAATGCGGATAACATTGGAGGTGCTGCAAAATAAGAACAGAAGATGATGACGAGGGTCAGAACTTAAAAGCCAACTGTGCCACTTCTGCAACATCCCTCGGAGGCCGCGTATGTCCACGAAGAATGAAAATAAAAACGGCATACTTGTTAGTTTGATACAAGCAAAACGGCAGTTTCCCTGATGCGAATAGAATTTTAGGTGTTGCTCATGCTTCAAAATCCATGTGCAAGGAGATGAAGATAACAAGGCTAGAATTGAAGCAACAACGATGTAAATGTAAATGAAACAAAAATGAAAAATCAAGGAAAGGCAAATTAGTTAAAAATCGCCTGTAAATTTCTACGTTCCGGCGCCAATAGCCATAGAAATACTTAGAACAAACGAGTGGGGCGCTTGGGCTGTTTTTATTTCCATGGTTTGTGGGGATGCGCGGCCTCTGATGGATACTGCAGATGCAGCCGAGTTCTCTTGAGTTCTGGCCCTCGTCATCATCTTCTGTTTGTGTTTTGTAGCACCTCCGTCATCCGCATCAGGAAATTGCGTTTCACTTGTATTTGAGAGCGCAATTAAAGGATTTGGCAAAGTGCCAAGGAGCCGCACGCGACACGCGCGCTTGCAACGGATGTTATGAACGACGGGAATCTGCGCCTCAAAAGGTGTAAGGCGGAGCATGGAGGAACTAGCGTGTTTCACGGTCCTGTACCTCCATTCCTGGGTATGTTTGGGCGGGGGGACCACGACACATCGACAGCTGGGGGCTGATAGTCTCATACACCCTCAATGTGTGTGAGCGTACTATGTGTCTTTAAGGCACCCTTGCTCGAAAAAACTTTTCACTCTATCTCACTCTTTTAGGCATTCTTAAATTCGCGCAGTCAAAATGTACTGACGCACGTATGAGCTTGTACAAAATGTAAAATATTAGTATCTCAGTGCTGGGAAATTGTGCTTTGACGAGAACTACGCTAAACAGAACGTGATGTCATGACTCATGAATGACCAGGAAACTCAATAACCCCAGTATGAAAGTGTATGAAACTTGATGGAGTGATACTAGCGCCAAATTGACGCCTGATAGCACAAAGCGAATGTCGTGTTCGTGATTAGCGCACGAAATATCCTTGTAGCTCAGAGCACCTGGGAATTCTTCAACGGGGGGAGTCGTATTTGGCCGCTGGGAGAGGGAGGTCGTAACGAGTACGGTAACCAGTAAAGAGCACCGCAAAGGTGTCAGCGTGCTGAGTCCTGTGAAGCGAAACATGTGTTGTAGAGAATCCGGATATGTAAAAAAATTAGTACAAAATTTTCTCTGATTGAACTAATGAGAAATTAACTAGAAATATTAATAAGTCAGCATCATCTTGTAAGTAGGTATATGGCTAAACAGCACAACTCATATCCTGGTCCGCTGCGGCTGATGGGGCGTGTCCGAGCGATCGCGCTACCGTCGTTTTTCTTTCGACAAACGACAGGACTACCACTCGTTTGCATCCTTTCGTATCAGACGTTTTCCATTCCAGACGGTCTCCTTCATCAGAGTCAGCAATTGTCGGAGCACAGGTCTGGCGCCGTCGGACACGGACACGCCCCATCATCCGCAACGGACAACACTGTGAACAAGGGCGTGGGTTGGCCACGGAATTCCCTGAATCCTGTAAACTCGTGCTCGTGTAGGCAGGCACTGCATGAAACTGCACCATCGCATTACCTCTGGGGAGCCTAGGCATCGCGCGATCCACAAATAAAGCTAATGGGCGCTAAACACCTACTGCTTGCTCTTATTCCACGAAGAGATGCATACCAGATGCATTTCTGGATATCCGAATACGCTCGCTTGGAACGGTACACAGAAAAAGGATTTTTCGAGCAGCTCGGAGTGCTACGTAATAAATCCCCAACGAAATTATCTCATGAATCCCGGGAATTTCACGAACAGCTTGAGTGGCTTTAAAAAAAGGTCTGTTAGTATTCGACACTGGTTCCAATTTGCAAACTGTTGAGTTTTAAAGAAAACGTCTTCGTTCAAACCAGATAGTTTGCATGCATCCTCAATAGATCTCCAACCCTAATTTTTCTCTGATTTGGCGACCTTCATGAACATTTCAGCACTTTTCAGAGAGCTCGAACCTTTTTCTACAGAAGTGTGTTTTCCTCCTCCCCATAAGTCCGCCTTTGCGAAAGTTATCGCCCTTCAAAGACAAGTTTTTGGAAACCCGCCCCATTCCAACACCTTGCAGCGTTGGTCCTGCCCAGAGTCCCTTCCAGTCGACTCCTCGGCTGATTGCGGCTTTTCCTACGTCCTTTTTTGTTTTATTTTGTTTTTGTTTCCTTTTTCTTTTTAAAAAAACAACAGGAAACAACTCCTTTTTTCACTTTTTGTTTCTTAGAGAGGGGGGGGGTACCGAACTCCACTCCGGGGGGTCGTAAGGGCTTGACCAAAAGCTCCAACTAATGCTGTGCCCTGCTATAGCTTCAGCTAGAAAAATTGAGGCTTCGGGGTAGTATTAGTCCAGTAGTGCCGAATGCTGAGCTTTACCCGCGTTCAGCCAAACTTTTCACTTATAGCTCTCGTGGAATTCATATATGCCTGCTTGTTTCTCGTGAATTTCTTCGCGCTCAAATCGATAGTGGTAACGCCTCCAAGGCACAAGGTGGTGACAGTGTCTTCAGTCCCCCACAAAGCCATCAGTAGCCATTGCCCCATTCCTTGCTCACACCAGCCCATGTGAGCAGGAGCACCATCGCGTTGAGTAAAATTTGCTAAATTCGTCTCCTTTCAGAAGTGGGTCTTGGGACTGACCCCTACTAAAGCCCTACCAGAGAAACATGAAATAGTATCGAATAGGGCACTTGAATTTCAAGCGCTCGCATGCATTCAGCAGTTGTGCTAGAGCGAGCTGTTGCGCGGCATATTTCCAAGATAGGCCAGGAACTCCGAAAGTGCCTTCACACAAGTGGCATCTTTCCAACAGTCTCCAAGAAAGTTATGGATACGCTATTCCGCACGAACCTGTCGTTTTGTATACAGCTTGTCGAGCTCCTCGAATGTCTCAATTTTTCGTTTTTCAGTGTCGCCAAGAATCTTGGTGACGTTTCTCTTGGTGAAGTAAAGAGGTGTTCCATCAGGCGCACGTGATTCTTTGTCACGGATTTCTTTCTGTTTCCTCTCCGTCATATCCACGGCATCAGTGACACCTTAAAGAAAGCATGCTCCTAGCTCTTGCGATTCCTCATCGTTCTATGTTGAGTGGCAGCTATAAAGCAGCCTGACTGCAATAATTTACCTGCTGCCTCCACTATAAAGTCGAGCCAAGCTTCCTGGTCTTTGTTGGGCAACGCTTTCACCAAATTCGGAAGTGACATTGTTTTCTCAGCCTGGCTGCCCTCCTCATGGACGGAGAAGAGTGAAGGTGAGAGCAAATTGAACTGAAAACCCATACATGATGAAATGTGTCAGATGACCCACTAAGATATTGCAGAATCTAAACTACAATCAAATATGAAAATTTCTGTTAAGGATTCTGTTGGATGTTGAAAGCTTGAATCCGTAATCTCGACCCCTCCCTTCTAGGCCAGAGTCATTTCCTAGTGGCTGCTAGCTACATACTAGCCCCTCTGTTAGCTCTCTCTCCACTTCAAATAGTTAAGTGAAGTGATAAGGGAAAAGCGCTGTGTTGTTATGCTAACAACAAGTGGAAATTCGTACAAGCACACCTTCCCATCATTGTAGGCACTAAAAGTCGGGATCGGCATGAAGTCCTATACGGGGGATTTCAGATGGTTTTTCTGCTTTCTTTTCCATTAACTGGTTACCTAGACTTTGCCGTTCGTATCTGAGCTCCAATGCCCACCATTTGTAGTTTGTGATTTTGTTTTTGAGTAAAGTTTGTACCATTGCAACCAGTCGGGTTCATGAGGAGGGTGAGATGCCCTCCCCCCCCCCTTTAGCTGTCGTGTTACCAGTGACGGTCTAGTCCTGGTAGATTCAGGAAGGAAACGATAGTGATGGAAACGTGGGACCGCTGGTTACGACCGGGCTGATCGCAATTATAGCAACTGTATGCATTGAAACAATGTGAAACAACGGGATGAATTTTGTGAAAGTCTTAAGTTTCGGCAGTGAGTCAAAAAGATCCGAATAATGTAGGGTAAGGAGAACAACTGAGCCAAATGTAAGACAATGATATCACGAATTTTTCAAAATAAGCCTGAACGCTTCTATCTGGAAAACAGACCAGAGTCTCATTGAACGACAACGTATTTACCAGTACTAGTACTGCTTGCACTATGAGACCTGCTTATCTTTAGTGCTCTCTTCACTTGAGTAGAGGTATGCATTGTACTATTTGTATTCAGTTACTCACCAGATCATCTTGTTCCGGAACTACACTCATGAATCGGGGTGAAAAGAGTTTGAGAGTCTTCTTGTCGAAATTTGTAACGTTTTTGCCAGCTGCTGCCAAGGCGATCTGTAATGAAAATCATTCGTTCGAGTTGGCCTCTTATGAGAATCAAAGCTGTATTTAATTTGAAAGCAGTTGGCACGATAAATTCCCCAAGGCGACTGCATAGATGCCTGCGGGAAACTTGTCCATTCGCGGTTCGAACACTGAGAACGGAGGCTTTTTCTTCGCAGGATTTTGACCGTTTCACTCCGTTCTTCTGCCATTTCCCCACTATATAGCCCTACTAGCATTTTATACTGAGCTGGAAACCATCGTGCCAACTGCCTTCAAGGGGGAGGACAAGATCGGTCCGCTTGCGTGACCTTTACCTCTTCTTTGCAGCAAGTAAGTGCTGATCCCCCATAATTTCAGTTAACTTTTTTTATTAATTGGTACATTGTTCACCCTCGTTTTAAAAAAATTGAGTTCCATTCAACAAGCTCAGTTGAGTTGAAACTCATAGCTCAATTTTAAATGTCCTTTTCCCTCAAGACCCGTTGGTAATTTCATTGCATGAATACGCGAGCTATGACGATCGCTGAAGCCATACGGCACGCTACCAATAGGAATCGACAGTGATTTACGGATCCCATGAGGCACTTCTAGCGTTTGGCACCATATATGAGAACAGCAGGACTCGGACGATGGGAGAGCATCTTCGAATCACGCCCTCTCAAGCTTCCTCCGTAACAACCATGGTTGTTGGAGAAATTAGTGAAATGAGAATAAGGAAAAACAGCATTATCAATCACAAAGCGTGTCCATTGTTTTTTTTCACCAAATGATCCTTCTATTTGGCTTCACTTCACTGAGAAATTGGAAAAAAGGAAAATCAGAGAAGAGCGGAAGGGGGAGGTTTCGATTCAGCTTGAAGCCCTTTATCGAAATCTGGCAATGTTCTTTTTTCCGACAATCCATATTCCGGGGTCCTCTACTGAGCTTTACCTGCAGAGGCTTATTCTTGCAGTTTCCTATTTCCTATCTCCAGAACTTCCGTTATTCAATTTCTCGTCACTTTTTTTGAACTTCACAAAATACTTCCATTATGTTTTCAAACTGGTGGGAATATTCTTGCGAACCAACCTTTTCCTGGAAATAACTCTGATACAGTTTATAGTGTTCCTTGTTGTGTTCGCACACGCTGCGATGGTGATGCCACAAGGACTCATTTAATTACGGACTTTTCTGTGGGAGTTCAAGGTACTTCAAAGTGTTTTTGATAACAGTTCCCAGACAAGGCCAAAAAAAGCAAACAGGTAAAGTCGGAGGGAGCCGATAACTTTGGAGCGAAACTCTGTCTGCCCCAAAAAGACACTCTGGAATATGCAAGAGGTGCCTTTTGCAGGTAGACGGGTTTCCTCCGGTGTTTATAGCGGGGTGATGGAAGAAAAATTTGAATGTGAGTAGAAAAACCTATCGTGGCACCTTGATCGATTCGCGGAGTATTTTCATCGGAATTCGAATCTCTTCTTTTTTCTCCCTTCCTATCCTCTTTATCGTCGCCTTTTCTTGATCTTCCATTTCCAGCTGGAAAACAGTAATGTTTCTGAAAGTGATCATATCTATTCGACAGGGTGACATTGACATGATAAAATAATCCACTGTATAAATTCGCTAAGAGAGAGAGAGAGTGTGTGTGTATGCAGTTCGTGGTGTGTGTGTTGTCGGCCCCCCGTGGCGTGCTCGTGTGCGTGTGTATGTGTGGGCTGTTGTATGTGTGTGTTTGTGTTTGACCGGAAATTCACAACTTCCCTCAAATTTGCGATAGAGCGCTCAAACTGATAAGTGATGTAGGGGGTCAGGCGGGATCACTATTGGTGTGGGGCAGGAAGTGGTAAAAGCTGATAAGATACCACAGGAGGTCTTAGAAGGGGAGGGTCACTAGATTCATAACGCGGGCCACAGCAACTGTAGAACGTCGCTTCCAAAAAGTAAGATAGGGGGCAGGATGGGAACATTATTGCTGGGTGGCATGAACTGAGAACAGCTGATAAGAAGCCATATACGGCCCTAGAAAGGGATAATCACTAACTTCATAGCGTGCGTCGCAGCGACGGTAGGACTTTGCTGCAAGCAGTGATACAGGAGGCAGAATGGGAACGGAGGGTGAGAGATGAAGCTCTCAAATCAATGAGGAATTGGTGAGCCAAGATGTTTTCTTCCTCCGCGATATAGTCAATTGATCCGACTGCTCAACTCTAGAGTTTTATCTACAAGTGGAAGCCTAAAGACGTTTGTCAATGAAGGACGGTAAGAGCCCAAATGAATACCTACTCAACGGGAGCGCAAGGATATAAGGAGCTTCCATTAAGATTTCAATATTGTTACCATCAAAATTCTTTCAACAGCTGAGCTGTCCTATTTACAACCAATGGTGTGTGTTTCTATGAACTTTATAAGCCCCAGACATTATCAAACGCTCTTAAAAAAAGGAGAAATATGATGGAATGGGATGTATTCCAAGACGTGGAAATTGGGCCAAGTGTTATGGCTAGCACAGAAATCCTGTCGGTGATCAGTACCATACGTTTTGAGCATGAGCGCAGTAGTGGCGTCAGCCAAACTGGTAATGATATAACCAAATAAAATAATAATGTTACAATCATTGGCGAGGTGAGTCGCATTTCACGTCTCCATAAGAAGCGCGGCGGTATGAGTAAAGGTCAGAGCTGAACAGAGCAGTGATGACGATTCTGAACAAAAATGTCTTCGATTGTTCCGTGCTGTTCAGTCATGTAGCTTCCGAGAAATCATATTTGGCCCGCTCAGGCACTGCCATCGTGGAATGTGCCCGTTCGTCTGCCGACAGAACACAGTCACGCTCATTCTGTAAGTTTCTGATGGTCGTGACGCAGTTTCTTTTGTGAGCCTTCGTTTCTTTCTAAACTGTTTCTTTTTATTCCAATAAGTTCAGAATGCTCGCAAGAAGCTTCTTTTTGGAAGGCATTTTATGGGACTGGCAGTAGTGTGGTCACAATTCTTGTGTTTTTTGATGAAGCCATCACGTATACGAAAGCAATCCTTCCGCTACGAGCGCGATAATGTCGAACTAGGATCCCAACGTCTATCAATGTTGTGGTAGCTTTTGAGTGACGTGGGAGCTTCGAGGTGGGCGAACCGCTCAGAATTGACTGTGTCAGCTGTTCAGCATTCCCTTATCTCTTTTCCAACTACACTCCCAATCACAAATCAAAGTTTCTTTTAGCATTGCCTCAAAAATGTCATGTTTCCAGCTCGGAACTCACCCTCGAATTCCAAGGACGACATTGCTAACGAAGCTTACCTGTTTCATAATCAAAGGTTTCCTCGGATCTTGGAACTCGTCCGGAGTGTTGTCAATCATTTCTCGGAGCCGTTTTTTCATCGCCTTTCGTCGTTTTGCCATCTCGTGTGTCTCCTTACCCAATAGTTTGACCCGCTCAATCGCTGAACGCCAACTGAAATTTGGTTGATCGAAAGAAAGAAGCCATGTATCTCTTTGAAGAATCAAATCAATGAAAAAAATGGAAAACATCATCTCAAGAAGGCTGAAGCCGGAAGAATCACTTTTTCTCATTCTAAGCTTCCTTACGACTACCTTTCTGTTCCACCGTCCTTATTCTTGAACTTGCGAATAGTCTTGACAGTCTGCCGGACTACTTTGGAGAAGAACGAGTCTTCATCGGGCGAGGCGAGATTGTAGGAAGAGCGATTAACGATCTGAACATAGACCGCTGGAATACTGTTGGAGAAGTCTTAACGTTCTGACTAATTTGTTCTATGAGTAAAATCGAGCAACTTTAGGAGGTGCTGGTCACCATCTGCTCTAGAGTGCTCCGAAAAATTTCAGCAGAATGGTACCTGGAATTCAGTGGGACATCGACTATAATGCTTTCCACTGGTAATGCTACCTTGGTTGCGTTTTACATTCTAGGAACGGAAAAAAAGCGCTTGGGGCTAGCTCTTGAAGCGCAGTAGTTTTTGTGCTGCACCTGTTTATACCTGATTCAGAGAGTAACGCTGCACTTGGACAAGGGTGTCGCTTGTCAGTCAGTAGTGTTCTGGCTTGGATTCTAGGCAAAATGACAGTTCTTTTTCAGCAGGTGAAACTAGCTCTGGAAACAGATGGTCGTGAGATTTGTGGCGGAGCACAAAAGAAAATGTAGAACTGCGATGAAACTTTTCCGCAGATAAAGCGAAAGTCTCGTGCCAACAGCAATGTACCCACTGTTTACTTTTCATGAGGGCCTCAGCTATAGTGCATTTCACAACTATGAATTAGCTCTTAAATTTGCATTTTTCTTCGAACAAACAGCCAACTGCTATCGTCCTCTTTGTAAAAAAAGTTTGCAACACTCTGAGTTGTCTGTTCTAAAGAAAAACCGATTGCTTTCTGTAAGTGGATGCTCTGAAGTTTCACAAATAGCTTCGAAGGAACTTTCATTCTTCAGCGTTTGCCCCACTCTGTGGCGGGGTCCGCGTAAGACCGTCCAGAAAGCCGATTTCTGGAGATTTCGGGAGACGGCATTCACATCCATTCGATCACAAACAGGAAAGGGGGGAAGCGTAGAGCCTCGATGTACACCGATACTGATGGGAAATTGCTGAAACTCACATTACTGCTCACCGAAGTTCGACCCACATTAGCCAAATTTGTGATACCGCAACGCTGATACCGTTTGACTTCCACTAAAGAGGCCGTTTCGAATGCACATTATCCCGACATATTTCAGGAACCCGGGCGAGTGCTCCTGCTTTTCTGCAGGACAGTTCTATTCGGGAGTGTTTTTGGGTCACCAGTCGAATTTTGGCAGGTTTTTTCAACCCTTATGTCTTGCATGTATACCATTTTCACTCCGAATTCACGACTTTTCGAACAGCACTCAAGACTTGGTTGCCTCGCAAGGCGGCACTCTAACCCCCTACGGCCACGCCCACATTTCAATGCGGTCACAATTTTTCAGATTATATTTTATAAGCTTGCTTTTACGAATTTCTTGCCCTCGCCTAAACACTGGCTGAAAACAGCTGCGCATCGATACCTGGACAACTCCGCCCATTTTCCAAAGGATTTGATGCAAACTTCGTCATTGCATAACATGTTTCAGCGTCTTTGTTTTCACTGCCACTCTTCACGCAACGAACGTCCACGCTCAATTTTGTGGCTGTAGCGGAACTTCGATGATTTTTTTTTACATTTTTGAATTTTGGACTGCTGCGTGAAGCCCCATTTAGTACAAGAAGATCCGTCCACTTCGAAATCCCCATCTACTTTCCAAGAGTGGTGCAAACTGGCAAGATAGAGTTACATGCTAGGGTTTCGCTCGTTACCTGGCACAGAAAAATTAGGCAATGTTTGTTCCAAGTGACGAGCGAGACCCTAGCATGAGACGAACGTGCCGATGTGCACCATTCCTCTTACGAGTTGGGTGGAGCCTCTTGTGATGGACTGCGCTTCACGTAGGAGTCGTCTACGAGTACCTTTTTTGAGTGAAGAAAAAAAAGTGAAAACAACGACGTTGGGAAGACTACAGTCCTCATCAATGCGGACAAGTGGGGTGGGGTCAGTGTGGCTGCGTTTGGCGCGGTGCCAAAGTCGTTCTGCACGCGTTGTTGAAGCGTACAAGTGACACTTCTGTATTATATCCTTCGTATTGCTCGTTTATCACCACTTTTTGTCGCATACGCGTTTCAAGAAAAAGGCTGAGAACGGCTTCAACAGTGTGCACATTCATACTGGTTGACACGCTCCACCGTCCCGCAATGATGAGGACTGTATTGAACCTGATATTTGCGGAGAAATCTTCAAGTGGGCGAAGTTGCCCATGTAGAGTCTTTTCAAGGTAACGTATTTATATGAAATACAAAAAAACACAAAATCAAAGCATAAAAATGAAATGAAGTTCGAAAAGTCGCGGCCACGCTGAAATGTGGGCGTGGCGGTAAGGGCGGGACTTTTAGTATTGCTGTGTGAGGCGTAGGTGACCAAGTCTTGAGTTCGGTCATGGGTTCATTTCGGAAAGTAGTGAATTTGAAGTGAAAATGGTATATGTAGAGGTGAGCAGTAACTCACCTTAATGCTTCTTTTCGCTCTTGCTAACCGAAAACCGCCAATCCATTTATCTTTCGGTTTGTTCACCTTGCGTTTCAAGTGTGAAACGGGTTTATCTGTAAATAGAGTGATTTGTAGATCTTGTCAAACATAATTCCTACCACTCACGATCATTGAGAATTGTGTTTTTTACTTCAAGTTATGAATACTCTTAAATCTAACAAAGGGAAGCCACTCGACCCACTTTTCCTGGCTTTCTTTTTAGTAGGCTTCGGTGGTCGATACTTAATATGTCGAGTAATGTCGAGAACTTTAACTACACAGCGGGCATGGTCAGGTACTGTGTAGGCTTGCTTCGAGCAGCGATGTAGTTCTTCACGATCGTCGGAGTCCAACTGATCAAGCCTATAATCATAAATTGATTCACTTATGTGCGAGCTTACTACTACTGTCCTCCATTGTGAATCCGGGTGCCCAACCAGAAGTTGACCATCTGCTAGTTAAATACGAATGCACTGCTCTTGGGTTTGCTTACAGAAGAAGGAAGACAGAGGAAACGTTCGAAGTTTCCAGTGGTACGCTGTCCCACGTAGTCAATTAGATTGATCAAAGGATTAATAGCATTTTGGTTTTTTCTCTTTAATATTCCTCAGCATACAATGGGAAGCAAGCAAAAACGGTGATCACCATTGTTAGTCACCACTGTGGCCCAGTTAGCTGGCAGATCAGCGACCATTTACCCGAGAATGTGGAGTCTGAGATCCGAAGAACCCAGCGACCAGTGATGTCGCCATGCCCCGGAAAGCAAGCTTTCTTGACAAAGGAGGTATTAACAACAAGTATGGGGCCTACTTCATCAGAGAATTATGGTTTTCAAAGCATCTGATTAATGCACGCTGCTGTGTTCGTTGCGCAGCCCTCACTTACTGAGGAGCACGCTGATGTGAATGCCTTGTTCATTCATTCCTCCCGGGTTGATTTGTGCAACGCTACGTCGATAATCCGCTGAGTATGTAAGTTCATGCGTCTGTCTGTGTGCAACGAAATTCATAGCGCCTATAGTGGCAGCATGTCGGTTCCAAGAAGTGATACAGGGGATAGGAGTGATACAGGTGACGGATTTTTAGTGGGAGTGACAAGGAGTATAGCATCTGAGAAAAAGCATTGAAAAGAGAGGGTCATTAGATTCGTGATACAAGTCACAGCAGTGGACCACAGTAGTGCCAAAGGAATTGGGGAAGCGACACCGATTGTGGGTGGTAGGAATGGATTTTTTGAGATTTTTTTTGAGATTTGAGTTTTCTCTTTCGGCGAACAGCTAAATTCTATCGAATTGCTCCTATTGATCGTCTTTTAGCAGTTGTTGTCGCTTAACCGACTCAGTGCTGGAGGAACGGGTGCCCGTACGTCAAACTCAACCTCGCTGACGCTCCGCATGGGTCGCAGCGAACAAGACGGTATGGGATAGGGACAAGGACACTATGCTAAGTGATAGGAAGTGACAGCAGTTGGAAAGAGCTGCAAGCGACGTTGGCATGAAGAAATCCGCCGCAGTGATTATAGCCATAATGTGATCAATATAAATCGAGTATCAGGCTCACAGTAGTTCAAGCAGAACTCGTCCATAGTCTACCAGTAGTGACATTATATGAGACGTATTTCAGGTGCGTGGCGGCTGCTTGCAGAGATGTCATAAAGAACAGCAAACGATATTGCCGCTATCACCATGAAACATCTTTCATCATGAAACTTAGTGAAAACTGTACCGCTGAGGCATCCCACTGCCGCATACCAGTGACTTTGTACTCTCTCTGGTAAAACAGTCTTTTTAAGTTCTGGAGGCTGCAGAGCAGTACTCTCTTGAGGTGCACATCCGATTTCGCTCGCGTGGGCGACTCTTAACTTCAAGGCAGCCAAACGACTGAGTTGGAGTCGCAGCGGGTCAACACATCCTCTCACGGCATCCTCGCGATGGGAACGAAGAAGAAGAGACTGACGATGGACATCCGTATTTCGCATGCTCTGCGTCAAAGCGTGAGGAATTAGTAGAACTGGCATTTCTCGATGGCGGGGAGCTTGTAGGCGATCAACGGCTGCCGACTGTGTACTGTCGCGATGCTATCGGTGGCACTTCACGATTCCGCGTTGACGGCGTCAAGAATGGCGAACCGTCTTGTGCGGAGGGCTTTCCGTCCGAGTTTGATTTCATAGATGTTGTCTTTTCGAAAAAAATGGACAAACCAGGTGGACGGTAGTGGTGAGAGTAGCGACCTCCCCCAATGGGCTTCTAATGATGCGACCACCGTGTGGCGACCGTGTGCGGCGGCGACTTAGGCTAGCTCGTCTTTTATTTTGGTATTTCACTACGGCTGTTTTCTTCTTGCGCCCTCTTTACTTCTATTGTATCCGAGGGTATTCTGCTTTATCTTGCACGAAGTCGCCTTACTGCTGTAGCTACTGCTTTGCTAAACTGCTATTCTATTGTGCTATTTTATTGTGCTACACAGCATCACTGCGGTGCTTCAAATCAATAGGTCAGCAAGGTCGCTCGAGACCCCGTGGCAGGTGAACGGAAATTTTTTCGAGTGCCACCCGATTCGGTGATTTGTTGTTTTTTTGAATGCCATGGATTCACAACTAACTCCCTTGCCTCCTCGTTCAATTTAGGAGA